TATGAGGAAACCTTTTCGCCTATGGTCATGCTTAAATTCATTAGGATTCTGCTAGCTATAGCACTATACCATGATTATGAGATTTGGCATATGGATGTCAAAATTGCATTCTTGAATGGAGATCTTACTGAATTTATCTATATGCAGCAGCCGCAAGGCTTCATTGCTGCAGGTCAGGAAAACATGGTATGTAAACTTAATAGATTCATTTATGGACTTAAGCAACCTTCTAGAAGTTGGAACATACGTTTTGACTCTGTTGTCAAATCGTTTGACTTCGAGCAGAATCCGGATGAACCCTGTGTTTACAGGAAGTACAGGGGAGATAAGGTTACCTTCTTGGTTCTGTATGTAAATGACATTTTACTCATTGGGAATGACCTAGGAATGTTAACTACGGTGAAGTATGGCTTTCATAGCAATTCTCCATGAAAGACTTTGGAGAAGCCTCCTATATACTGGGTCTTCGACTCTATAGAGATAGATCGAAGCGGATAATAGAATTATCCCAATCTGCTTACATTGACAAAATAGTCAAAAGATACAGCATGGAGAACTCCAAGAAAGGAAATGTTCCTTTCAGGCACGGAGTCACTCTCTCCAAAAAGATGTCTCCTAAGACCTCTGAGGAGATTGAGGGCATGAAAGACGTTCCCTATGCCTCTGTCGTACGGAGCATCATGTATACCATGCTGTGCACTCGTCCTGACATTGCTCAGGCAGTGAGTGTAGTAAGAAGATTCCAGGCCAACCCAAGGCAGGAGCACTGTACTGCTGTAAAAAACATACTTAAGTACCTTCGAAGGACAAAAGAGTTCTGTCTGGTATTCGATGGTAGCTCACTACAGATCCAAGGGTATACAGATGTCGATTTCCAGTCGGATCCAGATGATAGAAAATCTACATCTGGAATTGTTTTCACGATAGGATCGTGTGTTGTTTCCTGAATGTTAGCAAACAGGGGTCCTGAGTAGCAAATTAACAATCCACAACCCAAGACGAACGCATTGCCGTAAGTGAGGTTGCCTTATGAATGAGTGTGTTCATTCCTGAATTTGGAATTCAGCACATCACCCATTCCACTGTTGTGTGACAACACTGGACCTACGGGAGGATGATGTTAAGAGGTAGCATCAGTAGAGAATGTGGTAGACCCATTGACTAAGCCACTATCACAGAAAGTGTTTGAGAAACACATGGAAAGCATCAAGCTCCGGCTTATACCTGATTGGACCTAAGTGCAAGTGGGAGCTGTTGGACAGTTTTGTATGCCCTTAGCTTCAATCAGAATGATGTACTTTATGAATTTATTGTAAAWGAATAAAAGTKCATATTTGATTCATGTTCCCTTGGTATGTTTCTATGTAATACCCTTAAACTGGACACTTAATGAGACTC